GTTATAACATGTACTCAGTTAGCATTTTTGCACACATACACTCATTATATTCAGTTTGAAATCATTGTTTCATTATAGATCCATCCAAATTGATCCATTTTTCATAACATTTTATATTCTAGAATTTTGTACATATTAAAATAATAGCTAAATGTTCTACGTGTGGCAACTAATTTTGAAATTCATTTTGTTAAAATTAACGAATCAATCTTGATAATTTAAGAATAGCATTTCAGTCACCATACAAGGAAGCTCTTAGGTTATAGCAAAGCTGATCTTTTTAACTTGATAGCTTTATAAGCACATGTTTATAATATAAAGACTACATAGATTGATAGTTTTGTATTTGTGTGATCCAACATGACATTCAATACCAAAACGTAGCATCTTTGAAATCATGCCGATTAAATTATCTCCATTTACATAATGCTCAAATCCCGATGAAACAAATCATCACTCATCCATCTGTAGTAAGAAAAGACACCACTTTCATGAAATGATTTTTGTTGCCATTTCAGGCTTTGTATAATAAAAAGTTATCACAAGTATACCACAAAGTATGTTCGCGAGAGTTTATCGATGCGATCACCGTACTGCCTTCGTGCATAATTTGTCGTATTCTCATAATAACCTTATATTAACTGTGTAAATAAGAATGCACACTGTCATCAAAACTTGCCATAATCTCCATTTAGCATTTCCAAGTATAAGACAAGATTGATAGTATTCATATCATGGAATATCAGATTTAGTTAATACATAGTCTTGTAGGAAGCTTAGCCAGTCTACCTCTCTCTCTCTTTATTGATTAGACAGGTAGGTAGTAGTTAGACAGGTAGGTAGGTAGGTAGTAGTTAGACAGGTAGGTAGATAGGTAGTACATGTAGTTAGACAGGTAGGTAGATAGGTAGTAGTTAGACAGGTAGGTAAGTAGTGGGTAGGTAGAGTAAATGCTTAAATAGATTAGTGTAGTATCGGGTATGTAAGGGTTAGATTACAGTGCATCACATGTTTTGTAATATCTAATTTTAAAAATGCCTACTGGCATAATGTTTAGATCTTTTTTTTTTTACAATTCATATATTTGCTCTATAAGTAGTGAACATGATTATATAAACAACATTGGTTGTGTCTGGTCAAAATATTTTTTATTTATAACTGCCTGTATCTCTGTTATTGTATCTCTCACCACAAATACTAGTAAATATCAACAAACTACTAATAATTATCTTGAATTGTCTTGATGTAAAACTGATTACAGATAGTTTTGTGTATTAAGTTTTACTTGCGTTAACCTTTTGCATGTTGCATATAAATCAAATTTGCTCTATTAGGAGTGCATATGAACTTAAATTGCTTTTGGTGTATACTGAACCATTAAAATACAACTTATTTTGGCTATAGAAACAAATTTGTAATGTATGTAAACGTAAGTGCTACTATCAATAATAGGGCAAATACGACATCTAGTTATAGCTGGAGAAGAAAGGGCTGCTATACTGTAGTTACAGGTGATACTAATTGATATCGGCTCGATGTCTCACTTTATCTTTTATCGTGATATTAAACATATTTGTTATACCACTATTTCCACCTTATGTGATAAATGTAGAAGAAAGCCAACGACCCAAACCGCTTTGCAAACAGAGGAGGTAATTTACTACAGGAGGAGAAAACCAG